AATAGCTTTATATAAATCAAATAAATTGAATTTATAATTAAAACTCTCCCTCAAAGAAAAGTGCAGGTAAAAATGGGAGGGCAGGGGAGGAGAGGGAAGAGGAGGGGAAGGAAGGGGGCACGGGGGAAGGAGAAAGAGAGAGATTGAAGAAAGAAAAGAAATAAAGGGCATACACAAAAGAAAGGAAGAAGTAGGATTGTGATTATTTCCAGGCAACATGATCACGTGTACAGAGAATCCTAAGGAATCTGCAAAAAAAAAAAAAAAAACCCTACTACAACTCAAAAGTTTAACAGAGTCACATGACACAAAGTATAAAACTATATCATATTTCTACAGATTCTCAATGAATTAGAAAATGAAAAATATTAATCCATTTATAATAGCATCAAAAATCAAAATATTTTTTCTTTTTCTTTTTTTTTAATACATGGACCTTAGACAATGAAAAAAATAAAATATTTAGGAATAAATTTAACAAAAGATATGTAAGACCTGAACATTGAAAACTACAAAAAGTTGCAAAGGGAAATAAAAGAAGGCCTAAATAAATGAAGAGATATACCATGTTCATGGATTATCAAGACTCAATAATGTTAAGATGGCATTCTCTCCAAACTGGTCTAAAAATATAATGCAACCTCATTAACATCCAGGAAAATTTTTTGAAAAAACTGATAGGCTGATTCTATATCTTACATAGAAATGCAAAGACACAGAATAGCAAAAACAACCCGTAAAAAGAAAAACAAGGTTGGGGGATTTACAATACCTGATGTCAGACTTACTATAAATCTGCAATAATTAGGACATTATGATTAGAGCATAAAGAGAGATACTTAGGCCAGGCATGGTGGCCTATGCCTGTAATCCCAGAACTTTGGGAGGCCAAGGTAGGTGGATCACTTGAGGCTGGGAGTTCAAGACCAGCCTGGGTTGGGGAACACAGTGAGACCCCCATCTCTCAAAAAAATAAAATCAGCTGGGTGTGGTGGTGCACACCTGTAGTCCCAGCTACTCAGGAAGCTGAGTGGGAGGTGAGAGGATTGCTTGAGCCAGGAGGTCAAAGCTGCAATGAGCTGTGATTATGTCACTACACTCCAGCATGAGCAACAGAGACCCTGTTTCTTAAAAAAAAAAAAGAAAAAAGAAAAGAAAGAAAGAAGACGGACATGTAGATCAATGAAACAGAGAATTCAGTAATAGCTCCATACTTACATGATCAAATAATTTATGACAAAGGTGCCAAGATAATTCAATGGGGAAAGGACAATCTTTTAAACAAACGTTGCTGGATTATGGCAATCTATACAGGAAAAAAACAAACCTTGACTCTTATCTCATACGGTATGAAAAAGTAACTCAAAACAAATTATAGACCTAAAGGTAAAGATTATAAAAATTCTAAAAGAAATCAAAGGAGAAAATCTTTGTAATCTTGGGTAAGACAAAGATTTAAGAAAACAGGACATAAAAAGAACGAATATAAAAAGAAGTCAAAGAAAGAACATCTAGGAAGCAGTTGGAGATAAGGTATCATAACTTAGTAATAGAACTGGACATATTGCTTTTGAAGTATTCTCATAGTGCTTTGTTCATACCTCTTTTGCAACCTATATCACAGCAAAATCATTCTTTCATTCAGACAAAACAGACATGCATAAAAGACTCTCCATCTACTCTGGAGCCTTTGAATATTTACATGAAAAATTAATACTTCAGGAGAAAGACAGAAATTGGAAGGCAGCTTTTCCCACATCAAACTAGATAACAATAACATTTCAGAGAAAGACTTAATAAAGACAAAGCACTATAATGAAAAAGGCAGAGTTAGAAAGGTCAAAATTAAAAGAAAAAAAGAATTGGTAAAATTTCACCAAGTATCTTTATGACAAGAGTGTATAAGAAAACCTTCTTTTACATAATGAGTATATTCCTAGAAAAATAAGTATAAAATCAAGTTTTTATTAAAAAAAAACATTTTTACGCAGTGGTAAAAATTTCTTTATCAATTAATTTCATTACCATACTGTTTAGAAAGATTCTATTATGATTTCAATAACAAATTCTATATTTTACATATTTATGAATGTTTCTAAGTTAGGTTTGCTTACAGCTACATACAGAGCTGAAATATTAATGTACATTTTAAAGAAATAATAATCTCCCTTATGAGGAGAAAACTCAAAGACAAACTTAATAGAAATTATCCCGTAAGGCTGATGTTTCTTCTATAACAGTAAAAGCACATTTTTTTTTAAGAGATGGGGTCTCATAATGTCACCCAGACTGGTCTCAAACTCCTGGGCTCAAGCGATCCTCCTGCCTCAGCCTCCCAGGTATTAACAGAGGAGCAAGGGCTGGGCATGGTAGCTTACGTCTATAATCCCAGCACTTTGGGGAGGCTGGGGGATAGCTTGAGGCCAAGAGTTCAAGACCAGCATGAGCAACATAGCGAGACCCCGTCTCTCTGGAAAAAACAAACTTAGCTAAGTGTGGTGGTACGTGCCTGTAGTCCTACCTACTCGGGAGGCTGAGGAAGAAAGATCATTTGAGCCCACAAGTGGCTGCAGTGAGCTATGATCATGCCACTACACTCCAGCCTGGGTGACAGAGTGAGACCCCGTCCCTTAAAAAAAAAAAAAAAAATAGAGGAGCAGGAAAGTGAACCTAGGTGTGCCCTTTGAAAAAAGCATTCTAACTCCCAAATGGTGTCATATACAATATTTCTAAACAGTTTTTGTTTCATTTATAATATTTATGGTTATAAAAGAAATCCTTTAGGGAATTACAGAATAGTAAACACTTTATGAGGCAGCAGCAATACTGGAAATTCTACTAAATGAGGCCAAAAAAGATCTCCCAGAGTCAAAGGATAAAGTATTATGACATATTATTAATAAGACATTAAGAACCTATTTTAAATCTCTAGGAAATATCCATTATCTTTGTTAGCCCAACAGAAAGCTAAGAATGGGATCAAATGGCTTCATGGTTCTATAGAAAATATCTCAAACACTTCAGTCACATCTTTTTTTTGGTATATATTTAAAGTGTACAACGTGATGTTCTTATATACTTATACACAGTGAAATGGTAACTGTAGTCAAGCGAATTAACATATCCATCATCTCACATAGTAACCTTTTCTGTGTCCGTGTGTTGTAAGAGCACCTAAAATCTACTCTCTTAGCAATTATCCCGAATACAATACAGTATTATTAACTATAGTCCTCAAATTGTACATTAGGTCTCCAGACTTATTCATCCTACACATCTGCAACTTTGTATCCTCTGACCTACATCTCCCCATTTCCTCCCTGCAACCCTCCCCACTAGCTTTAGTCATATATTAAGAAATTGTTTATAAAATAAACTAGGGGTTAGGCTGGGAGTAGGCACACTGAAAATAAAGTGTACACAAAACAAAGGTAACAACTGAAGTCTTGCACTATTCAAGGGAATACAGACAATTACAATGATTTATTAGAAAAAAACAAGAAATTTCCCCGAATAAATATCATTCTGAAAACAGTCATTGACAGGGAATTAAATATCTTAAATTGAAGGAAAGAAACATGGTCATAATACCTCATGTAAAACATCTGTTCAAAACAAGATGTCCAAAACCTATAACTAGAATGTATCCTATCAAGAGGCTGAGTGAAAAGAAAACAATTCAAATCTCGAACATATAGGAAAATAATTAAACTTGATCAGAGAAAGCACACTTCCAAAACATAAAAAAGGAAGCCATTCCCTAGTGTTCCAACTCAATGAAGTCAATCTACATTTTGCCAAAGTATACATTATTAAAATATCAATAACTGTACTAGATCAATAAAATATTACATTAAAATAAGACACCAGTACAGAAAATTGTATGAAAGTAAATAAAATTTCTACCTTTGGCCATTTGGGATTGAGAAGTCGGGCTTTAATTGCATCATCCAGAGCTTTGTCATACTGCTGGATTTTCATGTAGGCTGCAGATCTATTGCTGTATAAGATGCAGTTCTGAGGGTCAACAGCAAGGGCTTCATTATACAGAACAATAGCTGTGTGGAAATCTCCATCATGACAGGCCTGGTTACTCTGACGAACTTTCTCAACAAATTCAGCTTTGCTCAGTACCGGTCCATCAGGACTTCTCTGGCCAATAGTCTTAGCACCAAAGAGAGGAATCTACAAACAAAGAGACTTTGTCAAAGTACAGATAATCCATATGGGTTCCTCCTCTGTTATGGTTTGGATGTTTGTCCCCTCCAACTCTCATGTTAAAATTTGATCCCAGGCCGGGCGCAGTGGCTCAC